AAGTGAAAGAGGAAGACTTGAGTAAATTGCCATATCTGAAAGCTGTGGTCTTGGAAGGCTTAAGGCGTCACCCCTGCACATTTTGTGTTGCCTCATGCAGTATCAGAAGATGTAGTGTTCAACAATTATTTGGTGCCTAAAAATGGGACTGTCAACTTCATGGTGGCAGAGATGGGTTGGGACCCTAATGTGTGGGAGAGTCCTATGGAGTTCAAGCCGGAGAGATTCTTGAACAGTGAGAAAAATGGAGAAGCATTCGATATCACGGGGAAGAAAGAGATAAAGATGATGCCATTTGGGGTAGGAAGAAGAATGTGTCCTGGCTATAATCTAGCTATGCTGCTTTTGGAATATTTTGTGGCCAATTTGATCTGGACTTTTGAATGGAGAACTTCAAATGGAGCCGAAGTTGATCTGACAGAGAAAGAAGAATTCACTGTAGTGATGGAAAATCCATTACAAGTCTCTGTATCTCCTAGGGCTTGAGATCAATCAAGTTATGGCTTTCTGTGTTATAGAGGTGATTATATGGCTTGTGTGTTATGCAGGTGATGAAGTCTGGGAACATGATCTCCGTGCTTTTATTCACGTAGAGACATCATTTTGTGGCACATGTACTATAAGACTAGGCCCAAGATAGTGGCTTTTTGGTTACTTCAGATTCAGTTTCCATATTGAACACTACCTCCGGTCCAAATTATAAGAACTTGTAATTTGTCTTATAATTAAAACCGGAAGTAGTAGCAAATCTGTCTGTGCTTACTTTTAGCGGTGTCGTTTGAAGCCTTATTTCAGCTATGGCTTATTATCTGTGTAGGAAAAACAGAGGATATACAATCCCACATATATATATGTGTATGAGAGATTATACATATATATTTACTAGTTCAACATCACCTTCCTCTCCTATGTGATATAAAATTTTCATTATCACTTTAATGTAATTATGGGTCCATTTTTGCATTTTGTTAACTAAGCAGCACAAGAAATTGTCTTCGTTGAAGTGTGTTGGCACTGTAAGCCACGACCACATATGAGACTTTGCTATATTTATCTTCGCACAAACGTGGTACAAAGCTTGGTCTAAGATTTCTCCGATTAAGGGCTAAAGCCAAAGCTTTTTACTGGTTCATGCTCTCCCAACCATAATCATGGGGTTGTGGTTGATCGTCTTTGCCACAATCTGTCTCTGTTTTTCCATTAGAGGTCTCTTGAAGCTTGTCTCTCCTCCTCCTCCTTCTTCATCTTCTTCCTCTCTTCTCCCTCCTGGTCCTTTCCGGGTCCCCATCATCGGCAATCTCGTATGGCTGAGCAGATCACTCAGCGAACTCGAACCCATTCTTCGAAAGCTTCATGCCAAATATGGACCCATCGTCACTCTCCCGATCGGCTCTCGTCCTGCTATATTCATCGCCGATCGGTCTATGGCCCACCAAGCCCTCATTCAAAACGGCCTCGTCTTCTCCGATCGTCCCAAGGCCCTCGCCACCGAGCAGATCCTCAACAGCGACCAACACAACATTATCTCTGCCTCCTACGGCCCCATATGGCGCCTCCTCCGTCGCAACCTCGCCTCCGAGATGCTTCACCCGGCTAGAATCAGATCGTTCTCGAGCATACGTAAATGGGTTTTAGATTTGCTTGTGACTCGGCTTAAAGCTGATTCAAAACCCAGCAATCCCGTTAGAGTGAAAGACCATATCCAATATGCTATGTTCTGCTTGCTCGTGTTCTTATGCTTCGGTGACAAATTAGACGACAAGCAAATCAAAGACATAGAACGCGTTCAAAGGAGTATACTTTTGAGTCTTAAGAGATTCAAAATGTTAAATTTCTGGCCAGCAATTACTCGAGTGTTGCTCCGCAACAAGTGGAAGAAGTTCTTGCAGATTAAGCAGGAGCAAAAAGATGTTTTGATTCCACTGATAAGAGCAAGGAAGAAACTGAAGGAAGAGAGATTAAACCAAGAACAAGCTGATGACGATGATGATAACGACAATGATGATAATAATGAGACAGATGAAAATATAGTGTCATATGTGGATACTTTGTTGGATTTGGAATGGCATGGGGAGAAAAGAAAGCTAAGTGAAGGTGAAATGGTTTCCATATGTTCAGAGTTTCTAAATGCAGGAACAGATGCAACATCTACCGCACTACAATGGACTTTGGCATGTTTAGTGAAGTACCCTCATATTCAACAAAAGCTTGTGGATGAAATAAGAGATGTATGGGGGTGAGAGAGAGCACGAGGAAGTGAAAGAAGAAGATCTGAGCAAAATGCCGTATCTTAAAGCAGTGATCTTGGAGGGACTAAGACGCCACCCACCTTCACATTTTGTGTTGCCACATGCAGTGTCAAAGGACCTGGTCTTCAACAATTACTTGGTGCCCAAGAATGGATCTTTAAATTTTATGGTGGCAGAGATGGGGTGGGACCCAAAGGTGTGGGAGAATCCAATGGAGTTCAGGCCTGAGAGATTCCTGAGCACTGAGAAAAATGAGGGGGAAACATTTGATATCACAGGAAGCAAGAGATAAAGATGATGCCTTTTGGTGTAGGAAGAAGAATGTGTCCAGGTTACCTATTGGCACTGCTTCATTTGGAATACTATGTGGCCAATCTTGTATGGAATTTTGAATGGAAAGCTTGTGACGATGTTGATTTGTCAGAGAAAGAAGAATTCACAACAGTAATGAAACATCCATTACAAGTTCGTTTGTGGCCGAGGTTTTAGATCTAGACATGTAAGAGGAACACATCAGATTCATCCTTTATACTGACACTGAATAATGGTCCATGTAGGTGACTTATATGGATATTGTTCCCAAGTTTGTGGCTTTTACGTGAACTTCATAAAGCAAGTAGCTTGTGGAGTTTGTGTGAATATGAAATTTTGTAGCAATTTCTTCCTGTAGATCAAGGGATGAGATATATTCATCCATGAATGCGACATATGCACAGTTTATTAGTTCTTTTTAATGAATGAATGGGCACAGTTTGATGTTATCTCATATTATGTTGCATTCCATTATAGACAGAGCAAACAGAGCAATGATGTTTTTATCAGAAGAAACGATTAAGATTATATTGCTAGCCTTGGTCAAAACCTCACACCAATTTTTAGCAGTACATAGTATGTGACTTTCATTACTCTAAGATAAGATTTTGGTACTATACATATGAAATGTATAGATTACAAATTTGATAAATTACATCCAATTAACATGGCTATCATATCTGAAATATAAGAAATGACAAAAATGTTAAAAATGTTCTTTTAGTTTCCTGATATCTAAGAAAGAAATAGATGTTTAATCGTAAATTTTAGATTTTGATTTATTAATTCTAAAATGGAACGTATAAATCATCACAGAACAGAATGGGAAAAAGGAAAAATTTTACATTTTGTTTTTGAGATAAAAATTACAAAGGAAGAATTCTGAAATTTTAGAAAGTAACTTGTAAATTCTAAAGTCTTACTTCTTATAGAGACCAAATTGTTTCCTTTCTTTGGCTAATAGTAACAGATACTATTTTACATGGGCATTTAAAGATATAACAATAATTCCACTTAAAATATCTCACCATCACTCATTTTTAGCAAATTAATTCAGTCATGTTTAAATGTTAATTTATTATTAATTAACACATTATATATACACATCATTTTCTACCTTCCACATCTATTTACAGATAATTGGAAAAGATATTGCAAGTGATGCATTGCTCTAAAAAAGGATGTACCAAATCCATTTTCCAAAAGAGTTCATTCTACTTTCATTCCAGCTGAATATTTGTTCCCCAACTAGGAACTTGGTTCATGTACAAATATTTCAGTTTAGGCTTTTGGCATCCTTTATTCAGACTTCATTTTTTACAGGTAACATCCTTTATTTAGAGAGTGTTTGGATATAAACCAAATTATAGTTTTAAAAATGCTTTGTAATTTACAAAATAAATATATAGAAAAATTTACTTCGTTTTATAAAAAGTGTGTTACTTAAGGGTGTGTTTGGTTGGAGGGGAGGGAGGGAAAATGAGCCCCTCCTCTCATTTGGTTAAAATTTTTGGAAGGGAGGGGAGCTAAAATGTCCCTTCCTCCCCTCCCCCCCCATTTTGGCTTCCCTCCAAATGGGGGTTTTGGAGGGGAGCCAAAATTTTGGACCATTATGCCCTTATTTTTTAATATTCCACTTCTACCCATAAATATATATTATTAGATATTATTTCAAATAAAAAGATATTATCCTAAGTAAAAAAATAAAAAATAGATACAGTATTATAATTAAAAATATATAAAAAATTAAATAAAAAATTAAATATATAAAATTAATTTTTTTTTATAAATATATTATTTATTAAATATATTTTAAAGCTGAAAAAAAGATAGCTTAAAGAAAATAAAATTCATTTTTCTAGAGCATAAAAATTGTTAATTTGATTATTTTAAATATATTATTATATTAATTAGAATAAAAAATACTATACCAATTTTTTAATACACATATTAACATGATAAGACTGAATTTTTATTAAATTATATAATTTAAATAAGATGTAAATTAATTTATATAATATATCAATAAAAAACATAAAAACTAATATGTAAGGTAAAATGGTAAATTGATTATACTATCCCTCCCCTCCCCTCCTTGAACCAAACAAGGGATCATTAAATACCCTCCCTTCCCCTCCTTTTTAATCAAACCAACAAGGTGAGGATAAAACCCCCCTCTCCTCCCTCCCCTCCCTCCCCTCAAACCAAACAGACCCTAAAAGTGTTTCTTAGAAGTATTTTTAAGAATTTCCAAACATTAAGCTCCACCTTCGGAAATGTCCAAAGAGTATAAATATTTTCCTTTTTCTCCGAGTGCCTCACCAAAAAGTTTTTGACTTTTCGTAAAGTTCCAATCTTTATTGAGTCACGTGAGAGAAAATCAGTGAACTACAAAACAAAACATCAGTCACATAATAATCGGCATCTTGGACACCACGAAACAGGAAAGGGCCAAAGTCAAACTATCATGTGCCGTGTCCAATCCAATCCCTCCGGATCAATTATCGTCTCTCTGTAATTCTTTAGCCCGATCATCCCTTTAAATTTCCAATGATTTTCGCATAACTGTTCTCATTCTTACTCATTACTACTTTATCTTCTCCTCTTTGATTCTTAACCATAATCATGGAGGTCTGGTTCATCGTCCTCGTCTCTGTCTGTTTCTGCTTTGCCATCCGAGCCTTCTTCAATCTTCTTTCTCCCTCTCGCCCCACCCCTCTACCACCTGGTCCTCCTGGTATTCCCATCATTAGCAATATTCTTTTTCTGCGCAGATCGTTCTTAGAAGTCGAAGCGTTACTCCGAAATCTTCGTGCCAAATACGGTCCCATCTTCGCTCTTCCTGTTAGGTCTCGTCCGCTTATATTTGTAGCTGATCGATCTATCGCCCACCAAGCCCTCGTTCAAAACGGTGCTGTTTTCTCTGACCGTCCCAAGGCTCTTCCCATCCAGTAAGGTTTTTAACTGC